AATTTTTAACTTCGTCTTTTTTAACGAACATTCTGGGTCTATTTTTAAATTAATTCATGAAAGAAATTTGTATAGCAATGCTGATAAGAATATTTAATTATTGATACGCAAATTGTGTGTTAACATTATGTAAAGATCGAAATACACAAAAATTGAAACAAAATAAAAAATATTATAGAATTCTAAAATGTTATAAAAACTATATACGTTTTCTCAAATATATTTCTGTAGTCGACAAAAATTTTTTTCTCCTGAAATCTCAAATTTTTTTCGAGTGTTCGATAATAAACGTAAGACTTAACAAAATTCTTTCTAGACAAAAATTAAGCAACGACCAGTTGAATGAGCGTTCAAAAATAAACATCTTCATCTAAAATGATATTCATTTTCCGAGTAATACAATCCTTTACCGAGAAACATCAAACTACTCGCAGAATCGGCGTTACGAAATTATGTACGGAATTTCAAGGAACCGAGTAATCGTATTTATTGAAAATGTTAAGTAACAAATATACTCGGTCTTCGATTTTACGAAGCGCGCGTAAATATTCAGTGAAGCTCCTTCACCGAACTTCTTCTGGACAGCTTGCAGTCGCTAAAATAAACGATGCGAACGAAAATAAGTATTCCGTTCTATCCGTTACGTTTCGAACGGAAACTTGTAAACGAGAGAACGAGTCCGAATCGAATCGTCGCGTCGCGTCGATTCGATTCGATTAATGAGACTCACAATGCTCGCAATCGCGATCGTTACGCGTTCGCGATAGACTCAAAAGGTGTCACACTTTGCGCTAAACGCGATAAATAAACAATTCGATTGTTCGATTGTTCTCGTTGTTTACGTAACGAGAATCGAGGTAGCGTAACAATCGAACACACCTCGATACGTGTTACGTCAACTCCATTGTCGTTTAAACTTTAATTATTATTTCTGAGTTATTAGAGTCTTTTACTGTTTATTCAAATTTATTTATTAGAATATATTGTGTTTGTGTAGATATCTTTTAGAACTGAGTTTTCTTGTGATACAAATTTATTATGCAATACAATGTTTGACAGATTTCATGTGGATTCTCTGTTTTATGTTGGAAGCTTCGAATGTACTGTTTATTTTACTTACGCAATTTTATCCCGTTTTACTTTTAGAATTTTATGCGGTTTTTGAATAAATTTTTTTTTTTATAACTTTGTTGTTTTTGATGGACGTATTATTTTTAATAAAACAGTCATTTTATATAAATCAATTATTTTGAATAAATCACTTATTTTAAATAAATCAATTATTTTCAACAATTCACTTATTTTGAAGAAATCCACTATTTTCAACAAATTACTTACTTTGAATAAATCACTTGTAAATAAATTAATTATTTTCAACAAATCAATTATTTTTAACAGATTACTTATTTTGAATAAATCAATTATTTCCAGCAAATTAACTATTTTCAATAAATCACTTATTTTTAACAAATCACTTATTTTGAATAAATCAATCATTTTCAACAAATCAACTATTTTCAATAAATCACTTATTTTGAATAAATCAATTATTTCCAAAAAAAATCACTTATTTCGAATAAATCAACAATTTTCAACAAATCACTTATTTTGAATAAATCAATTATATTTAACAAATAAATTATTTTTAATGAATAAATGATACTCTATGACAACGATTAGAAACTATAAATAATTATCACGTCCAAAATTGCTTATTATTATCAGCTAAGATGAATATTAAAACTGCAAAGTTATTTCGTATCTCTACTAAAATTACTTTGAAATTGTTTTTAAGTACGGTAGGAAGCAATTAGGTATCTCGTATAAATAATGTACGTAAATTATCTTCACGAATCAGTGAATCTTAAGATAGAAATCATTATAAAGTCTGAAATTACTGCTTGCTGTGATACTAAGGATGGAAAGCAATTCTATGTCTTGCGTATGGTTACTGAGAAATTATATCGAAGCAAGGTAGAAATAATTGCATACTTTATAAGTAAATATCGTACATATGTAAATTAGTTTCACGAATCAGTGAACAGACGGACAGGAATAATGTAAGGAATTATAAAGTAAAGTACTTTGAAATTTAGAAGTACGAAATCGAACGAAATAATTATTCGCTGATTGTAACAATAATTGTTTCATTAAATTTTACGAAATTTCACACTTTCACAATTTCATCGATAATAAATAAATTATAAGATTAGACAAATCATGTCATTTCTTATTTTCTGTTATTTATAATACTATTATAGTACTACTATAAATAGTTTATTACAAATAATATATCATATTTTTATCAAATAATTTTCCTTAACTTCTATTTATTTAATTTTTAGAAAAATTTCCAAAATTTAAATTATATAAATTTTTTAAATAATTCAATATTATAGAGCGTTCAAAAAATTTATGGAATTGTCACAGCTCCATAATCTTAATAAAACATACAATTTTGTATTGTAAATATAATGTATCATATTTTTATTAAATTTTCCTTAACTTCTATTTATTTATATTTCAGAAAAATTTCCAAAATTTTAATTATACAAATTTTTAAAATAATTATACCAGTATTATAAAGTGTTCAAAAAATTTATGAAGTTGTCACATAATTTTAATAAAACACACAATTAATAAAAGTTGTATGAATCGGGTAATGAGGACAAATATCGTCCAGCAGAAAAATATCTTGTTTGCAATAATAACAAGAGCATTGATTGATAATCGTGATACACGTTCTCGAACAAAATAGTAATATAAATTCATAGAAGATAACAGTTAATGGAGTTGCATGATCCGAAGTGTTTTTAAGCACCTCAGCAAATGTGCTCATTTCTCATGGGACATTTATTAAAGATATCGATGGTCGTTTATAATTAATAGTAACATTAAGGAACGGTGGATCGAGCGCAAGTTTTCAATTAAAATGATAACGAATGGTCTGTGTGCGAATCGATGATACCTATTAACCCTTTTACTGTACACTATATGAAAAAAGTATTTACTCTTATTTTCTTATGACAATCGCAATCAATTATAGAAACAATTAATATTAAATTGTTATTTTTAATTTTGGAGAAATAGTCTTTAATTAAAATATGAAGATTGATTTATGAGGAGAACAAAATAATATAATAGATTTCTTTATTTTAGAAATTTGTTTTTAGAAAGTAATATTGTATGTTTGTAAGAGTGAAAGATTATTTTTGGTTACTTATTTAAATTGCGAATAAAATTTTCTGAGGTTTGTACGTAAAATAATATAATTTTTGAGAAAGATAAGTAAAATGATATGATCTTTGAGAATCTTTTTTATATAAATTTTAAATAATCAATGAATGATGCTTTATAGAAATTTTGAATGAAAAACTTACTGGATTTGTTCAAGAAACCTCCACACAATTGATCCATACACAAAATAAAAAAGAACGAATTATAAATGAAACGTAATTTGAATAAATCCCTTAAAAATGAATGATCATATTATTACCACAAAATTATATATCGTTCAAGATTACATTGCCGTCAAACTTCTCAAAAATGAAAAGGTTTCATTAATTTCCAAAGTGTCTCAAAACAGATTTATGTAAAACCACGCACACAAATCGTTAGTTATTGGCACCGAACGCGAACTGACACACGCATTATTTTAGTTGTTTACACGTTGCATGTTATTAGCATTCTCTCGTAAATAACGAACAAAAAGAAAATAAGACAGTGACTATAATTTTCTTATAAATATAATTGATAAGATCGAAGATATAATTTATAAGACAGAAGATATAATTTGAATTAACATAAGTGTCATAAGATTGAAGATATAATTTGTACTTGTTAGAAGCGTAATTTATAAAACTGAAGATGTAATTTCCAATTCTGATAAACATAAATTAGATTGATGATATCATTTATAATTATAATGAATATAATTTATAAGATTAAAGATATATTCTCATAATTTATAATTCTTGTAATGCATTTTATAAAAAAATTAAAGATTTAATCAGTGGTTGCTATCAGGTCTTTCTGAGCACCTTGAAAAGTTTGACACTAAAACCAAAGCATTGCTGCACAAGTTTCTTGTTACACAATTAAGTTTGAGTGTAAATTGCACGATTAAAGTCTTTCTAAAATCTGCATCGACTTTTGTCAAAAAATATAAATTAGATTGATGATATCATTTATAATTCAAATAAATACAATTCATAAGATTAAAGATATACTGCATCATTCTCATAAATGGAATTTAAAATTCTCACAGAAGAAATTTATAAAAAAAGGAATATAATCAGTGGCTACTTAGGTCTTCAGAGCTCCATGAAGAGTTTGAAAACCATCAAACTAAATGGCTACACAAGTTATCACAAGTAACACAATTAAAGTACTCTTTCTGAAACCTGCGTTGACTTTCATCAAAAATATAAATTAGATTCATGACACCATTTATAATTATGATGAGTACAATTCATAAGATCAAACATATAATGCATTACTCTCATAAATAGAATTTATAATTCCTACAGAAGAGATTTATAAAAAAAAGGAATATAATCAGTGGCTACATGGTCTTCAGAGTTTGAAGAGTTTGAAAACCACAAAACTAAATGGCTACACAAGTTATCACAAGTAACACAATTAAAGTACTCTTTCTGAAACCTGCGTTGACTTTCATCAAAAATATAAAAGAGATTCATGACATCATTTATAATTATGATGAATGCAATTTATAAGATCAAACATATAATGCATTATTCTCATAAATGGAATTTATAATTCCCACAGAAGAGATTTATAAAAAAAGGAATATAATCAGTGGCTACATGGTCTTCAGAGTTTGAAGAGTTTGAAAACCACAAAACTAAATGGCTACATAAGTTATCATCAATAAAGTGTTCTTTCAGAAATCTCAAGATAACGTGTACCAATTTCTGCCTCTTAATTTTGAATTTCAAATGAAGTACATAGAATACGCGTGTTAAGAAAATGAAACTCACCAGTCGCAGACTGCGTTTGCAGCAAAAGTCCAATGAGGGAGACCAGGACGTAGGTGTTGTACCGGGGTGCCACGATACCCCGTCGCAGGGTCGTCATCTCAGGCGGCCCCCGCCAGGTGCCCCCTTGGCCTGCTGCCGCCCCTGCGACCGCCTTCGGCAGCTTTGGCTTCTTGACTTCCGCCTTCGCTCCAGCCAGCTCCACGCCTCGTAGTCCTCGTGCTTCACATCTCATCTGCCACGGTGGTGTCTACTGTGTCCCCGAAAAGCGACCCGTCCTCCCAGGACGGATAATCACTAGGAAGCTGTCGCTTCTTCAACGCTTCCTCCTCCCCGTCTTCGTCGTCCAGCTCGTCATTTAACGCACCGTCCGCTGCAAAATCGTCCGTTTTCGATCGTTTACGCGCGCGATCCAGCTGGTGCTGGCTCCGTTCGAGTCGACCTGATTCGTAACAATGACACGCGATCGAGCGACGACCGAGCGGACCCGTTTCTCCGTTTGTTTTTATCCTCCCTCCCGTCCCATCTGCCTATGCGTGCCACGCGAACGTTCGAGTCACCTAAACGAATCGGTAACGAGGTGTCACCTCGGGGAGCACAGTCGGAGAACTCGAAATGGTCACAAATCGGTTACGCGGAGTAGGTTCGATTTTATCCGTCCGGTGCACGCGGCTCTCCGGCGAGAAACTGCGCGAGGCCGAAGGGAGCACGCGACGAGAGACAGGGCCCGGTGCAGAGCGGATCACGTGTTCGGCGAAGGAAACTCACTGAACATCTCACACCATCCACGGGGAAGAGCACGGTGGCTGCGATGGAAGGGAACCGGCGTGGAAGCGGAACGATCGATTCGAAACACCTGTAGAAGAGCGACGTGTCCCGGTCACGGTGCACCACGAGATAGCTTCCTGGGAGCTGTGTCCGGCGTGCTCAGTCACGCGTGTCCCGGCCCGTGTGATCGGCTCGCG